GTTCCCAGTGAAGAGCATCTGGAGGCCTTGTCCCTTTTCCTTTCCCTTTTTAAATTGGGAGACAGGGATTGACTGTGTAGCTCAACTGGCCTGGAACTCACTTTGCAGCCCAGCATATCTTAAAGACACAGAGACTGTTCTGCCTCTGCCTCAAGTGCTGGGATGAAAGGCACACACCATCACGTCTGCCAAGGTGCTTTGTCCAAAGAAATCATTAAATGGTATATCTTTGATAGCTTTCTCCAGTGTTTAATAAAACAAAACTATAGGTGTGTTAAAACCGAAAAATATGACCAGTCTAGAAATGAAAGTATATATTTAAAAATAGTGGATTATCTGATACAAAATGCACTATGAAATTATTGTTCATTCTAGAAACATTCTAGAAGCTATTCCAGTTTATATATATATATATATATATAAATTATATATATATATATATATATATTAGTTTGAAGAAGCTTTGTTAAGATGTTCATTAACAGCCTCTTTCAGGGTGACCTTGAACACAGGGTAATGCTCAGTTTTGAATCTGTTTCCTTAACGGTAAAAAGTAGGGGTCAAATATCTTCTGTGCTTCGCAGACGATCTCAGTCATAGAAACACATTGCTGCCTGTGTAACTGGTATTATAGCCATTTTGCATATTTAATACTCTTGATTATGGGATTGGCATTAAAGTATTCAGTTAAAAATAATTTTCAAGTTTTAGTAAAATAACTTTGTGTAGGGGGTGCTGGTGTCTGAAACACACGTGGGAAGAGATATTCTCCAAAAATGTATACATTAAAAGAAACCTTCCTAAGTCCTATACGTTATGGCAAATTTGAAAACAGCGTTTTCTGAGTGTCACAGGTGCATGATGACTTTACTCACATGATGACCGTGTGTAAATTTAGACAACCTGTTTTCCATTGGGCAGACTTGAAAGTTCACTCATGAGCTAGCAGTGGAAAGTGCATCATCTTTGTGACATCAAAACAACCTCTTTCATTTTAGAACAGACCCCATTTCTTTGAGAAAGGCCATGAGGAAAGAATGAAGAGGAGCTAAATGGAGCTGTGCACATGTTCACATAAACATTCGTTGTTTATGTGAAACAGTCTTACACTGGTTTTCACAAGGCAATTTTGCTGACGGAGAATATTAAATTGATTTCTCAACTAAACCAGAGCAGCTGGGGTGGAGACCACGCTGCACGTTTTATACTGAAAGCTGGAAAATATGTAATGCTCATGATGAGTGTAATACTTCTAACTTTGAAGTAACCCCCGGGCTTTTAATCGTTTACTTATTTTTACTTACATTAGCACACGTGGTATTAGCTACCATCATCTACCCTACCCTCCTGCTTTCTGCAATTCTTTGCTCCCTCTCCACACCGTCTAGTCTGCTCTTTCATGCCAAATGTGTTATTTTAAAAGTGTTGATTTTTCTTTTATTTTCAGTGATTATACAGTTACACACAGGGTCGCATCCAACTGGCCCGCAGGATCTTCGAGAGGAAAGGGATAACTTTTTGTAACTGATCATTCTTTGCACAGTACCTGGGAGGCTTCCACCACTGACAAGAAGACCCAGCATAAACAGGCAGCAGTTCTTGCTCATCAGCACACAGAAGACTCCCTCTCTGGATGTCTGAAGCACAGAATGCCATCAAAGGCTGCTGTCATTATGGGATGCTCACATGCAAAAACCAAAAAAGCTGAATCCATGTTTCACACCAAAAGTGCCAAACATTAAGTCAATGAGTTAAGGATGCTAGCTAAAACTTAAAGAAAATGAAGTACAGAAAAATCTGTGTGACTATGAACAAAGTGGTATTTTTTAAAAAATGGTATAAAACACAGGGAACAAAGAAACATATAGTAAAAATTAAGACATTTGTTCTTTGAAGGATATCATGAATTAAAAAGACAACCTACAGGATTGGACACATTTTGGGAACTAATAAAGAGATTTGTATTTAGAAATAATAATTACAAGTCAATATTAAGTAGACATCTCAATTAAAACTTAGGAGTCCAAGTAGTGATAGTAGTAGTTACAGGAAATGAGGGTTAAAACACATAAAGAAGAAAGGGCCAGAGCTCCTGCTCGGAGGCAGGATTTAACACCCTACGATACTGTATAATGTACTGTACGTTGAAATTGAGAAGATAATTACATGTTCACAAGTAAGTTGAAATGGCCTCACGATCCTAAGATTATCAGAATATCTCCATTTTAAACAAATTTCAAGACATTCTTAAGGCCACTCTTAAGGCTGTACTTATTCTGTTGATTTCTCCTTTTCTTTATTTAAACAGCCACTTTCTTCATTCTTAAAAACTCAGAACATAAAGCAGTTATTATCGCTTTACATTCATCAACATACATTTCTAGAGGTTCAGTCTGGAAAAATCACACAAACGATGGTATAGTCAGGTGGCACACCAGGGACTCAGGCGGTAAGGAAGCCTGAGAATGCAAGGAGGAAGCATTGTTTGCACTGCAATCTAGCATGAAGAAGCAGGGAGGGCGGGCCATGAGGGCATGGCCTTCAGACTCCCCTGCTGCCAGTCAGCACAGCAGCCAAAGCCTGAGAATAAGTTCTGCGGGACCTCTGCTGTGGCTTTGGAACCCTGTATCTGCAGATTAGCAGGGTCAAGCGAAGCTCCAGTCTATGGAGCAATACCATGGGAAGACTTTCCTTTCTATTCGTTCTTCCTAAGGGTAGTTTTCAGGTAATTGATATTGTGATTGAAGAAATAAGAAGAAAAGAAAACAAAACAGAGAAAAAACAAACAAACCAAAAACCCCAGAAACTCCATTGTGACATTGGCTAGTCCTGGATATTCTTCTACAGACCTTGGCCATTCTAGACACCCAAGTATTCATATTTAATTTCAGAGACAATTAGGCAAGTGACAAGTGTCAACAATTTTATCGCAGTCTTGAGGTTTCCATATGTCATCGCTTCCCTGGATGTCAGCCGTGAGTATGAATGTGAAGCCAACAATTCATCTAAATCTTCCATTCATTCTTTCCTGACTGAACTTCAACCATCTGCTTATTTCTCACAGTGTCTTCTGTGTCCTGCTATTTCTGGGGGGTGGGGGGTGTTCCACAGAGATCAGTACAATATAGAAACTTTGCTATTCTTGATTTGGCTCCATGCATACATTTCTTTGTACATATTTTGCATACTAGTTTAAATCAGAGCTGTTTATTTGGGCTATTCTTACAGGCAGATACTCCTAAGTGTCACTCTAGCATTTTACCGCAGGATCTCCAGAAGATCTAACATTTTTTATGTACCATAAACTGTTCTCCTATCTGCTTGGTTCAGAGCAATGGACTGCTCCATCTCATCTCCATCATCAGGTCCCACGGGATGAAGCTCTCAACTTGTGTTGGCTGTGGAGCATTCCTTGTTGTATCCAAAGCTCTCAGACTTCAGTCTGCTAGCATTACTTCCTTTCGCTCATTTTATCCAAGCTTTAGTCAGCTCCAGGACACAACAGGACAGTATCTGAGTTCATCTTCTGTACATAAGCAGCCTTTACTCCTCCATACCCACAGACTTCTCTGATTTGGCAGGAGGTGGTTGCCATAGAGATAGATGCCCTTGTTACCTCTGCATGAAAAACTGAGCCTGAGAGGAGTTCATATCCACAGAGCTGTGGCTGAAGAGTAGGTAAGGGAGCCATGTAAGGAATGATTCTTCTGTGTCTCCTTAGGAGATATTTCAAATATGGCTAGCGGAAGGCCCCTTCAGGATTCCTCAGGATTAACCACCCATCTACCACAGCTGTGGCCAACTAGGTACAAATTCTTTTATGGACACGCACACATGGGACCAGAAGACAACTTGGGGCAGTCAGTTCTCTCCCTAGACTGAGTTCCTGAGAGTGAGCTCAGGCTGTCAGGTTTGGCAGCCAGCATCTTTACCTTCTGAGATTTCTCCCTCGTCCAAGAATCAGAAACGTTTTACTTACAATATTTAAAAATCCGGAAAATTAACAAAGTACAATTGCATATTTCCATCTCTACTGAGAACCATCCTTAAAAGGAAGTTAAGTCCTATAAAATGCCTCTTCAAGGTACAAAGATCAGTTGTTCATTTGTTACCCAGAAAATGGTGATCCCAAAGTCAAACAAAGACTATCATATTTTTACACGTCATTAAGTAATTAGACTTTCGGAATTAATGTTTTTATTTTTTTAAAGTTAATATATTAAACATAATATTTATTAATCATCAAAAATGCTAAGGAAAATTAGATCTAAAAATTATAATGATGTTTTTATGATAGGAAATGGCCACAACTATACAACAGAAAAATTTAAAAGCCTGGAAGATTTTCTTAATAGTAATAAGATAAAAACACTGACATGTTTCTAGTTTAGAAAAATTGGAATGAAATTTATGAAGAATGGAATTATGACTGGTAATCTACTTTTTGTTTTGGAAAGTGAAAATGAAAAAGAATTATCTAGAATGTCTTTGTGTGTCATGGAAGACACAAAACACCTAGGAAGTGGAAATAAGAGTGTCTGTGTCTTTTTCACTTGATTAATATTTGGACACAGGATTTTCCAATATACAAACTCAAAATTGTCTTCTAGAGTATCTAAAGCAGCAGGTTTAAAAACAACCATATTTCCATTAACGAAAGATTACCATGATCCAAGCATTTTGCCTTTCAAGAAATAAAGATGGTGGGTGTTCTTTGATACTAAAGTGTACCGAGTACACAGTGTGTTTGCCAACAATGGAATCATGAAAGATTTTTGATAAAGTTAGATTGCTGCACTCAACAGAAAAAGCTGGTTTCCATTGTTTTATCAACTGACCGTGCCTTCTAGCCCCTTCACGCCTTCAAGCTTTCCTTACTTTTTTTTGTTTTTGTTTGGTTTTAACAGATCTTGCCTCTGGTTTATTTGTAAAAACAGCATAGGACACTGGTCATCTGTAAATAGCGCGTAGGTGGGTGTGTCACACCAGTCTGTCTGTTTTCACTTTTGAGAGCCTGAGCTAGGTTGAAGCCTGGCCTTAGCTGGAGCTGGAGCCTCCATCTTGGTTTGGATCTTGGGCTTTGGTTGGCAGAGCCTACGGCCCTTGGCCATGTAGCTTTGAATCGGCTTCCCAAGCTTGGGGTGAGCGACGAAAGCCAGACGGCTGAGTTTGTGGCTGGGGCCCTTTGGCATCTTGGGCTTAACGGCTGCAGGCTTCATAAGGGCCTTGATGGCGTCTGCTCGCGCACTCATGGCCTTTGCGCTATTTGCCTGCATCTTCTTCAGGCCTTTCTTGTTGTGCCTCTTGGTAAAGCGCACATTACTTAGGAATTTGGGGTTCACCCCCCTTAAGAGATTCGTATCTTTGTGACGGGGGTTTTTTGATGCCATTTCTGTGACATTTGCGGGACTGGTTGTTTGTGGTGTGGTTCCTGGACTTGGCGGTGTTTGCACGGTAACCCGCAGCTCCCGCAGCGTCGGGGACGGGAAGAGCGCTCCTTAGTTACTCTGTGACGTTCAGCTAAGTTAGCCAAGGGTAGCTGTCCTTGTACTGGTGACCCGTCTTTCAAAACCTAGCTGTTTATTTAGAAAATAGGGAAGTCCATGGCACTCTTGCACCCTGCGTTGATCGATTATTGTTGAACGGAGTAGACAGTAGCAGGTACAGAGACCCACAGCCAGACAGTGTGCAGAGAGAGACCTTGGGACACAGCCTACACGGATGTCTCCACCAAGTTCCTCCCCTCAGGGCTCAGGGAACTCTGCCCAAGAGGAGGAAGAAAGAATGTAAGAGCCAGAGGAATGGAGGGCACCAAGGAAACAAGGCCTTCCTTTAAGTCAACGTGAAAAATGCACATGCGGGCTCACAGAGATTGAGGCAGCGTGCGCAGGGCCTGCGTGGGTCTGTGCCGGGTCCTCTGCGTGTATCATGCCCCCAGTTTAGCGTATTTACGGGATTCCCAAGTCTGAGGACCAGTTGTTCTCTGCTTCCTGTGCCTTCTCCTGGGCTCCTTTGCTGCTTTTTGTTTGCTTTGTCCAATTCTAATGTGTTAGCTTTTGTTTTGTTATGTATTATGTTATAATCCCTTAGAAGCCTGTTTGTTTCCTAGTGAGGGGCAGAAAGGGGTGGATCTAGGTGGGAGGGGAAGAAGGGAGGAACTGGAGGAAATGCAGAAGGGGGAGACTGTAATCAGGAAATATTAACAAAAGTATTTTTAATAAAGGGAAAAATAAAGATATTAAAAAAAAAGACAGAGGTTGTTGGCATTATCAGGATCCAGTGCTCACAGGAGTGAGGATGAAACTGACGTGAGGTGACTAACTCTGATGTGCCAGTATAAACAAGCCCCTCAAGCTAGCGTCAATTAACCCTAAATTCACTACAGCAGCATGGATTCTTATATGGCAGACTATTAAGTATTTAGTACATTTGCTGTCCCTGAGAACGAAGAACACCTCTTCTTGACTTTCTTACAAGAATTTATTTCTACATTTGGGTTTTATTCTGGCTTTTGCCTGCATGTGAGCCTCTATGAGATAATGAAGAATTCCAGCTACGAAGTTGTCTTCTGTTCAGTTTCCTCCTACAAGATCTATCCTAATGTCTATATTTATAGCCCCAAACATTTGAAATTTTGGTGTTTATATACCATTACGCGATTGCTAATTATATAGTGCTTTTTAAAATTTTTTTTTCTCACATACACCCTGCCTCGCTTATGCTTTTGCAATCCAGGCAAAGATAGAAAATTTTCTCCATTTCTTCAAGTAATCAATCACAATAAAGAAAATGTGAGAATCTGAGCATTAGTTTTCAGCCTCCTTTGCCTGCTTAACATAGTCTGTCCTCTAGTTATCTGTATGGCTGTATTCTGGTCTCTGCTTAGGATGCACTTGCTGCATCAAGAGAGAACAACTGAAACTAAGACCAACAGACGGCCAGATCGTCTGAGTATACACCAGGGGCTATAGAGCAAGTAAGTTAGGAGCGTGGGCTAGCCATTTCCAATGTGAAAAGAGGCAGGGGCAGCCCCTGCTCAGAGAAAGGCAGGGATGAAGAGGATTTCCTACCTTTGCGCACAGGTCTTCATTAGGACCTAACTGAAATTTCCCCTTTAATTATCCTTTGAAAAATTTTGTATATCCGTATAATAGATCTTGATCGTATCTACCTTCCACCCTCCCCGACCCATGCATCCTTAGACAAGCTCACATAGCATCTCCTTACTAACTTCATGCGCTTCTTTAAAAAACATTTTCAGATTTATTTGTACTTCATGTATAGGAGTGTTGTATCTGTGCATATATATGCGTACCAGGTGTGTGCATAGTGCCTGCAGAGGTCAGAAGACGGCACCATATCCCTTGGAACTGGAGTTATAGGTGGTTTTGAGCCACCATGTCAGTGCTGGGAACCAAACCTGGGTCCTCTGAAAGAGCAGGAAGTGCTCTTAATCACAAGTTCATCTCTCTAGTTTGATGTCCTTTTTTTTTTAAATATATAAATAGGTTTTAGTTTTTTGTAATTTCTGTTTTAACACTGAGTCCGGTCGGTGCTATCCTTATGCACATAGGTGTGGCGTCATCTCTTGGAGGATGGGCAACCGTCAGTGGCCCTACGGCGTGTGGCAGGTTTCTCCTAGACTGAAACATTCTGTCCTACGGGAAAGCTGCTTAAGGTACAGAGTCAACAGTGGGCTGGGCCATCCAACCTCAGCTACTAACTAAGAAAACGTCCCCCAGGCCTTTCTACAGCCCAGCATTGTGGAGACTCCCTCCTCTCCTGTGACTCTAGCTTCTGTCAAGTTGGCATAAAACTAGCCAGGGACAGGGTAATATTTTGGAGCATTTCTTTTATGAATTTCATTTCTTTTATGAATTGAGTTTTATCAAAGGTGTCAGTGGCTCATGTCTGAAGCTAAAGAGAATGTGCCATGCCTTTTCTCAGCGCAAAGTTTTGAATCCCTAAAACCACATTTGTCACTTTATTCTCAAATTAAATATTTTAAAAATGAGAATCCACAGATGTTATTTTTCTTTTCAATTCTTATATTTTTAGAGTATTTTTACATTTGTATTTTAAAATATGATTCTTGTATCCCATGTCAGATTTACTCTGCTCTTTGCACAATATTTGTCATAAAACCTAAACCCTTATATTTAGGCACCGCGTCATTGTCCCATGCTCAGTGCAGAGTGAAACATGCACAGTTTTGTTTGGGAGGGAAGGCATACACATAGAATGTTCTTTGTCTTTATTTTCCCCCATTTCTATAATGAAAACAGTCTCCCTTGTCTTGCTGGTGTGCTGGACACTGTTTTATCTTTGGGATGGGGAGTCTGAAAGCAGAGCCAGGGTCAGGTAAGTAGTGAGAGAGAGCTGAAAGACTCAAGGACAAGGCAGAAGGTGCCCTCTTAAAGAGCACAGAGGAGGAAAATGGAAGAGTGAAAGTTAGTAGTGCTGGGGGTAGTGGGTACTGGGCAGGGAGGTTTCGGTGCTGACACATGGGGAAGGATGAGGACAAGTGACCCGGAAGGGAGAACAAGGACGTTAAGATGTTTCACCAGGAAATGTACCTCCTTTATGAACTTGGAGAAGTGCTAGCCAACCTAGAGCTGGTCTCCATGGTCTCTGTGCGTCATTTGTGTTTTCTCTTCCTTCCCTCATGCCTTTGATGGCCACCCTGCCTGACTGGAGGACAGAAAGCCTGCCAACCTTGCTGGATTGATAGCTCCCAGAAGCTGCAGCCTAGGGGAGTGCTTGCAGATTTCAGTGCAAACATTCTCCAGTTGGGGTAGGGAGGGTAAGCTCTTAGGAACCAGTCTGGAGCTCCTGAACACATCAGTTTGAGGGTAGGTTGTAGAAAGCCTGGTCATGAAATGACAGGAGCTGCAACTTCAGACCATGAGAAGTATTTACGTTCTGGTTGAATTACACAGTCCTACGTCCTTCTCCTCAACATGAACCAAGCCTTCTCATTGCAGGTCCCTCTTCCTGGACACTGTCCGACAACCACACAGTACTCTACACGCCACCTCACATTTTGAGCTATGGAAATCCTGCCACTACGGTCCTTGGCATAGGCATTGCTTTGGCTTTTGGGAATCCATCCTTGGACCTCATGATAAGGCAAGGACATCTGATGAGCTTCCTCAAGTAATAAAATATATTTCAGTTCTTTTATGTCCTACACTTTAGCACACAGCAAGAACATAATAAAATGCTGACAAATGGTTCAATAGGAAATTATTCTCCTAAGTCTTAAACTTAATTACAGCTTTATTTCTTAACAGCTGCATCATTTTAGCCAACTCATTGGTCTTACGAACTTTGGTTTCTTTTCTTTCTTCTTTTTAGTTTGGCCTTTTGAACAAATATTTCATAGTAAGCTCAGAATAGCTTTGAACTTATGAAAGCAAGAAGAATGTTCCCAAATTCTGGCTATTATGAATAAAGCTGCTCTGAACGTAGATGAGCAAATGTCCTTGCTGTATGTTGGAGCATCTTTTGGGTATATGCCCAGGAGTGGTATAGCTGGGTCTTGAGGTGGCACTATTTTTAATGTTCTAAGAAAGTGCCAGATTGATTTCCAAAGTGGTTGTACAAGTTTGCACTCCCACCAACCATGGAGGAGTGTTTCCTCCTTCTCCACATCCTCTCCTGCACGGTTTTGAGTTTTTGATCTCATAATCATACTCATTATCTGAACAAAGTTGAAACCAAAATTCAATAGTGTAAAAAGTTCAGCACTTTGTGTCTGGAACCCATTCCTAACCCTTGGGCTTCAAAGGTCCTGAACTGCATCCATGGCTCTATCCTCTGAAACACACTCAGCTTGTGTCCTAGACTCAGGCTGACAAAAAACAACCTACCACAGCGTCCTCTGCAAGGGCAGCAAGGGCTCAGAACTGTTGAATCATCACCAGCTCTAAGTTACACTTCTGGATCAGAAATTGGAACAATCTATTGTGTATTTGCTAAAATTTATCCCCATGATGGCTTTTGTCCATATTTCAGCCTTGATTAATTTGATACACTTAGATAAACTTCAAACGTGGCGCGACCAGCAGCCATTTCTTGTTAATGAAAACTTCTACTCTATTCAAACAGATTTGATAAACTCTAAAACATAGTAAGGTTCATTATGTGTTTTTAAAAAGTGTTTTTGGAGGAAAAAAATTTGTATTTTATAAGGTGAAAATAGGGAAATCACTTAGAATAAAAATTTCCAAAATAAGAAATAAAAGAGGTAACATCTAATTTTCCAGTAATCACCCAGAAAATTGTTTGCTAATTTGAATGAGAAGGGATTCTGAAGAACTACACCAGGTCTCGTCTGACCGTGAAACACTAGCTACTTCTCCATGCTCTGCCTCCATATCCAGTCTGC